GCTTCTGGAATTGCAGCAGTAGGCATAAAGTATGAGATAAAGTTAATTACTCACCAAGCTAAACAATAAAAGGGTAACCTTAACTCAACACCCATGACTAGGTTCATAAATAATGCACAAAGTAATCCAGAGCAGTCAGAATAAAAAAAAAATAATAATAAAAAAAAAATTCAGTGTATGTAGCTTCTTCATTAGCCAAGACTTCTTTGTATTTTAACATCTTAGAGTTCCAAATGGGTCTCTACCTTAGTTTTGATGAATTTTTCTCCGCCTAAATTCAAGGCACAAGCTTTCCCTTGACTTGGTGATGTACTCATGAAAGATATTGTATAATGCTTAACTAAGAAACTAAGAACACACATTTCTTCTTAAAAATAAACAACAAATCTTAGAATATAAATACAAATTTTCCAGAATTAGTTAATTTAAATCAAACCAAAACCAAATCAAACAAACAAACAAAACCCCACTGGCAACATGGTTTAAGATAGTTTTCAGAGGAAACACTCTGTGCTGAAAAATACTGCAAAGAAGATAGAAGTGGAAATGACTGCAGGAAATTATGGGCTCATTTTCTACTTAGTAAAAAATATATAAAGCACAGTCTGGAAATTATAACTAACTTTAAATTATGTCCTTTTCATATATGCATTCAAACAATTCATTATTCATATAAAATGGTGGGAGAAAAACCTGTCACTCATGATGCCTGTCTGACAGCAAAATATCTGCTCACAAACAGGAGGCATTATGATTAACACTCACTCAAAACCTTAGAGAAGTTTAAATTTTAAACACCTGTGAGCATGACTTCAAAGGCCAGTATTTTTGACAAAAGTGGAAGATATTCAGGTGGGAGCACCTATTTCTACTTGGATTCCAAAAATATTAAGCATTTCCAAAAGCTTTTTTTTTTGGGGGGGGGGGGGGGGGGGGGGGGGGGGGGGGGGGGGGGGGGGGGGGGGGGGGAGTGTGGGGGTGGAGTGGGGAGGGAAGTGTTATATGCTTCACCCTTCCTAGAGTTTTTTTCATATCTTAGACTAATCTCGGACTCAAGAAAAGGCTTTAGTGTATTTTATTTGTCTCTAATGAGAGAAGAATTCTTGCTGGCATTTTTTTCTCCTTCTATAGATGTCTGTATCCCTTTATTTCCAGAGAGAGAAAAAAAATTAGGATACCAGTTTTAGTCTGTTCTTCCCTTTAACCAATATGTTGCTTGTGGCTTGTGAAGTCCCAGTGATGACCTTCATCCCTAAGAAGATCTCCAGTTGCTTCCTTCTTCCCTAAGATGAGAGTGCCTCTTCTTTTTGAAATATAAAACAGCAAGGAATCATGTGGTGACTGTTGTGGACTATACAAATATTCTAAAAAACTGCTTCTGAGAGCTGCTTGAGAGCTGTTGTCTTTATTACTCTTACATACCAATGACAATAATGTTTACATTCAAAGAAACTTCAAAGCTTCAGGTTATTCTGAACAGAAAAAAAAAGTAAGATACTCACCTAAAAATACTATAATAAAATACCTTGACTCATTTGGAAACGGCATTATTTGAGGGAGACTTTTTTCTGTACTCTTTGGTAAAAAGATGAATACTTACAACAAGCTTGATTTTTTCTTCGTGACAAAAAGAATTTCTTCTGAAAATTTCTTAAGATGACAGCTATTGCAAGGAGAATTAAAGATGCAGGCAGTGGTTTTCAGATTGACAGAAGCAATTGGCTGGAGCAATAGTGAAATCTAAATGATATGTATTCGATGAAAATTAAGAGAGTACTGATGACATTATTGTTACAACGAATGAGATGGATTGTGATGATAATTTTATATTCTGAAGATGCAATGCAAGTGAGCAAGAACCTAAAGAAACAAAGCTTAACCAAGAGAAGTTAACATAGATTTTGTATAGACGGAACACAGTTTCTACTGGATTCCACGGGGTGTTAAACACAGTAAAGCAAAGGTTACAATCATACCTCAGATTGCAGCTTCCACCAATTAACGAGAAAAGGCCTAAGGCCAACGTTCGATATCCTTGACAAGGATATTTCAAAAGGGGTTGACACCACTGAATTTTTGGTATATTTTTCTGTGAAGAATTTACATGGCAGCACTGCACCAGAAAATGAACCTGCACAAACGTGAGAGACTCTCAGCAGTGGACATGTAGTGATGTCACTGAATCATACATGCACACTGAAAATGAATGGCATCCTAACTCCAACCCCAGTTGTAGGATGAGCCTTACACAAGGCCCCCAAGACAATGCACAGCCAAAATATTTTCCCACTTATCAGTTCTCCTTGCAGCCCATACTTTGCTCCAGCAGCTGCTTCCTACCCCCACGCCATCTGCAGCCCTAAGGTCCCTGTTGTAGCCCAGAAAATGCAAGTTGCCATTAGTAGCTAGAAACAATAGACCCCAGGACTGAGATTGACTTGTCTTGAGCTGGGTTTAGCTTGCTTAAACTGTGATAGTAATTAGCAATTGGGTAACTGTATCTTAAATTGGTTTTAGCTTTGATTTAGTTGACTGCAATGATGTGCTTAATGGCTATTGTTAATAGCCATTGTTAATAGCTATACCCAGTAGCTGTGTTTTGTGGCATAACTTCTAGAATAAAATGTGCTGGGGAAGAGCACCAACACCAGCACATATCAGAGGTCCCCCACGGTGAATACAAATTACAGAGGCAGCCACTTGTTACAACTGGAGTGGAACTCTGCAAATCAGGGACAACAAAGACAATTGAAAAAAAAATGGATAACTGACAAGCAATGAAAGGAAAGAACATGTATATATATGTCATGTGAGGAAACTAGAGATTAGTAAACCCCAAGGAGACTGCAGGACGAAGAGAGAAGGGTTCACTGCTACCGCTATCTAACCCCTTCTGGCAAAGCATCTAGGGCACCAGTGACTCTTGATATCCTCATCCTCTTCTTCTGGACAGACTCCGAAGTTGTGACATGGTGATTCAGAGAGTAAGTGACCATAACATCAGTGAAACAATCAGGGAGGTAAGAGGAATTTTGGCCCTTGCAGATTTGGGTTTTTTTTTAGATGAGCATTTTAACTGTGTTGTTGATAAGGTGTTTTGGGTATGTTGTTTTTTTTTTCCTGTGTTCCTTTGGACTGTGAGTGTTCTTATTACTATTGTGCCAGGGCTTATAACAACTGTTTGTTGTATGTGTCAAGACTTTAATGAGACTAACAATAAATTACTCTGTCTACATGTCAGTTGTGTTCCCTGTTTGCCCGTAACAAGATTTTGAGAACAATAGTAACAGGTGTATAGATCAGCTTTGTGATACAATGAAATCTTCCTATGGAATTAATCTTTTTCTAATGGCAGTGTAGGTGTCTTCAATGAGGCTGATCCCCTAGAGTAATGGAGTTTAGATCATGATTTATCCAGAAAACACAGACACTGACTTTTGGATAAGATGGATTGCATTAGAGACATTACTGACTATATAAACTAGGTATCCATTGAGTATTAAGTGGTAAGACTGGTTGTAAGTCCTATATTGGAGATACTCACATTTAATCATAAGGACAGGACCCTTAAAGATCCCACGGTTCATGTCCAGGAACAGGCAAAGACATACTTGCATGAGACACTTCATCTGGTTGATAAAGGAAAGGAAGTCAGCAATAGCTGCTTCAAAGAGATAAAGCAGAGAGTCATGAAGTGTGCATGGACACTATTGCTGTTGGGTATGCCTGGGTTGCCCCTGCAGGAATAGGACGAGGTGCTGTTAACCCCTATATTAATTACTGCTGGATGAAGACACAACATTTTCTGTAGTCAGGGTAGCTTAACCATTCTTTTCTTCTGAACACAATACAAAATTCAGTGACTACCATGATGGACTAGTTTTTATTCATTTAGCAAGATGCATGAACACCTTCTGCTAACTTTGTGTGTAAGCAGACATAAAATTAAGTCAGAAGCAGTAACATAGTTAATGAAAACACAGAAAAGAATTCAATAAACAAAATGCTGAATAAGGAATTGTTAAAAAGACAGGGTTTGTAACAACAATTTTCAACCATTTCCATACCCAGGCCCAGTTATCAAAACTTAAGTTATTCAAGAAGTTGACTGAATGGACAAGAGAGTTTTTTCTATGGGCCAGAAAAACACAAACCACAAGAGATAAAAATTATTCTAGTCGACATTTCCTTCATAAACTGATTTATTAGCAAATCAAACACAAGAAAATTTTCACCCCCCTTCTTGGCCCAAAGTTATTATTTGTAAATCTCCTATCATTGACCTATGAAAATTTCCATTCCAGGAGTGTGGGAATTGTTTCAGAAGAAGTTTGATGTCATCAAAAGAGAATAAATAAATGGCAAATAATATCATCCTTTATAGTGTTCTCCCACTTTTTTTTCCGTGGGGATTATTTCCAGTCCAAACTTCTCCAGGATGAAATCCTGTTTCTAAATTTGAGTTTTCCATACCATATAAACAGTGTAGTGAAGGGAAATAAATCTGGAAACAAACCAAAACTTAATTATTTGTTATTCTGTAAATATTTCTGACTGTGTGGTGGTATCCGAGTGGGCACAGGGCACCATAGGTGAAATACCAGTCTCCATACTTCACTTTTTTGTTTATCCTATTCTTTATGAAGATTAGCCTGGTTTTTTGTGAGATGGAGTTCAAAGGCAAATACCCAGCTAGAAGTGACTTTTGTCCTCTTGGGCAATAGTTTCATTATTCCAGTGTCACAGGGCTGTCTTGAGTGATTATACTCTCTAGCGAGTTGACTAAAGGCTTTCAGTAGCAGTACTCCTTCTGCAGAATACCAGCACCAACACAGAGGACTTGTCACACAGTGATGCGGTCCTCAAAGCCACAAACTTTTACTCTGCTTTGAACTTAAGATGACTGCCTAGTAGCAAGACCATATCAGCAGTGAATCTGCAGGAGAGTGTCAGTTTTGTTAAATTACTGTTATAGAGCAAAGCCTAAGATTGTTGTTACCATCCTGTATTTTTTAAGTAAGTGATGGTTCTGTTCAGGCATTTTTTCTGAAAGTTTATCTCAAGGGAGAGAGAATTTATTTTAAACTAAAAAGGCATAAGATATAAAACATCCATTAAATATTCCAGCTTTGATGCTATTTTTCTTTTTCTTCGTTGTCTTCCTTTTGATTAAAAGTTTCAGTGTTTTCAAAAACTAATAAAGTTTCCAGTTTTCACTGCAAATAAGTTTTCAAAAAGTTAAATGAGGGGGGGAAGGAATATTATTTCTAAGAAAAAGTGTTTCTCTAGCAGAGTCCAATAAGGGGCTGTTCATTCTGCAGAAAAGCACACACAATGCCTACGCTTAACAGAATGGAGTCTCATTTTCCCTTGGAGAATTGCATTATGTTGAATTTCCCGTCTGTACCTGGGGTGGCCCCATACAGCTGCTAGATGCCACTGCACTCAAAGGGAGAAAATGGAAGGTCATTTTCACTATTCTTCTTTCCACCTTGAAGATTTTTCTCCATTGGAAGCAGTCCACTGTAGCTAAACCACTGCAAATTATCTTTTAAGAATTAGAGTTTAATCAAAGCACTTACAAAAAATATCTCTGTTAACCTCTAAATATAGAGCCAAAACATTGAAATTGCATCACTCAGTCCTTAACAGAGGTCATTTTCTTCACAGAATGCAAAATAACTGGCAAAACACCAGTGAGGGACTAAGTACTTCCTTCAAAATGGATCTTGACGCTATAACTCAGCCTACACCAGGTGTGAGCCTTTCCCCATAACATGTCCTTAAATACTCAGCCTTTATATTGTGATGACTAGTTTGATAATGGTTGCAGATAGGGAAATGTGGGCAATTTAACTTGCAAATTCAGAGGTCAATCACAGAGGTCATAGGCCCCTGTTTTGAAAACGATCCCATAACTGGTCCAACATTTGACATACTAGTCCAAATGTCCGTGTGTCAAGCAGTGACTCTGCATATAGTTTACTATTGCCAGGATCCAGACATGCAGAGATGCTCACAGTAGCCTGGACTTACCCTAATATATCTGAGTACTGCTATTCTGCCTAATCCAGAAGTCATGAAAGTAAATAAGCCCTAGTAGAGCTCATCTGCTTTTTCAGTTCATGACTTCTTCAGAGGTCCTTATTCCTTTAAGTGTGTTTATTAGCGTCTGATACTGGCAGAGATAACCAAGAAAATGCTTTGCAAGCTGTAGCTTGCTTACAGCCAAATCTACTCCCTTACACACTCTCCACCCCTTGTGGCTTCATGTGGGCACAAGCTCCAGAATCAGATGCAGTAGAAGACTTTTGAATTAAGCCTAAGTCTGTTTATTGTGATTAGATAGCAAAGAAGGGGTGCTGAATTTTCAGCAGGGCATTTCTGTGGCTATAGTTATCTTCATGCATAATTTTCTGTAACAATGTTTACTCTCAGTGAGAGTAAACCTTCAAATACTGTTCTACATCACAAACAACATAGATAATCTAATATCTGCTTGCTGAATAAGCAGTGGAAAAAAAATAATTATGAGGATAAACAATAAAATTTTCTAACAGTCATTGCAATAACATTTGAAATTCATAGACCTTTCCATGAAGAATCACAGATTGTCAGCATTTTTTGAGCAATTATGAGCTTTATTCCATGAGTCAGAGAAAACTATCAAATCTTTTGTTTTTAAATTAGTTTTTACTTTATTTATTACTATTTATTGCAATTAACGATCAGAGCTGAAGAGAAGGTAATATTTGAGGATAAAAGAAAACTCTTCCTACAGTTCAGTTTATTAAAGTCAGTGATTAAAGCAACAAAAGATCAATGGAGTTGTGACAGAGACCTTTAAAAGAGTCATCGTAATTCACTTCAGTGCCCTTAAGAGGGCTGTAATTTTTAATCTTACAAATGTAACTGCTTACCCTAAAGCCTGAGACACCCATCTAACGTGCCAAAAAAGACTTCTCATCTTTCTCAGAATTCTAAGTTCAGTGCAGCCACTCACTTGTTATGGAACAAGCAACTGCACCCTCACAAGCATGCTTTATATACATTCATGGCTCAGTTGCCATTCCTGTACCACCACGGCCTCGTCACACCCGCACTCAATTAGTTTGGTATCCTGTCAGATTCAAAACTTGCAGGCTGTTCACTTCCTTTCTTATTTGTTAATTGTCTCTCTTCTGATGAGAAAACTACAGGTTATTTTCTGGTATTTCAGAACATGATGTTTGGAACAGAAGCATTATATACACATTACAAAGAGAAATAACATCTTATTAAAATTATAAGGAAACCATTTTGTGAATTATTATTAAAGCAACAGACAGTAGCGGTACCAGATGATAACATTATTTTGTCCCATGAGGCTCATTACTTGAAGGTGCAACTGAAAAAGATGTATTACCTATAAAAACTCATTATTTCCTGCAGCTAGCACAAGTGCTTTCTCCAGCCCATGCACTGGAAATAAGGTATATTCTTTCACTGCTACTTGAAGCGGTGGATCAGCAGTGTCAGTCGGACACTAGGCAGTATTCTCCTGGTAATTTGCAGAGGACAAACGAAAGAAGCAAGAGGAATACAAGAAATGGCGCGCGATATATGAAAAATACTAAAAGGACTCTTACCTAATAACATGGACGTTTGCAGGCAGTTTAGGCCTGATTCATAAATGAATAGAATGTTCTGTAGTCATCTGGCTAACGTTTATAATGTTTACTGTTAATGCATGCTTTTTAATGTTTGTACCCCAGTTATATTTGTTATATTATATTTGAACGTGTTAGTCCCCTCATGAATTTTCTCCTCCCTGATTGGTCAAGGTTTCCCTCTCCCTCATTGGCCAGGATTTGCCACAGTGTGGGCGGTCCTGCATTTCCCTCCTTCCATGTTATTGGCTCCTAGTTAATTTATGCATATTGCTGAATCCCCATTGGTTGTTTAGTCCCATGCTCCTCCCAGTTTCCAGATCCTTCCACCCCAAACCCTATATAAGGGTTAGCTCTCCCCTCAGTCGGGGACAGCACCCTTGACTCTGTACCCTCATGTGTCTCTGCGTTAATAAACACCTATGACAGAGCAAGAACCCCTCGTGCTGTCGTCACCTCTCCTTTCACCGGGCTGTGGCAGTAATTCACTCACTTCACACCTCAAATGCAAGCAGAGTCACTACAGAAACCACAGTCTCCCTATCCTCTAGTCTGCTACTTCCATCTTGAAGCCATAAGGAGAGAGAAGTTCTCAAAGGGAAAGATCTGACGAACAATCTGACTTGAGGCAAGGTAGAGAAACAGAAGACATGTCCCCAGCAGCGCCAGTCTCAAATATAAGATCAGCACTTGCTGTTCCCAAAGAGCTGCTCTTCCCCAGGATGACCAAACCCCCATCATTTGTCCAGGCTAACATTGAAGAGGAGGCATTAAAGGGTGACAAATCACCACTGGAACTGGAACACTCCAACTTACATGTATGCTGAGTGAGGCTCCAGGTTGTCCTTTCAAAAAAGGGAAGAAACATTGATGACACCAGCAGATATCTGGGCCTTATTTCAACTTTTTGCATCCAGACAGGGCAGAAAAGAAAATGGAGAACATGGAAATATTCAAGTGGCTGCATTTCTGTTGCTTTTAAAATTCCAATATTTGAGAGAGTTAACTAGCACAAACATGCATAAAAACTATTTGGTTGAAGTAGAATGCAAATAACACTTATTTTTCTCCAACTTGTGGGCTTGTTGGCTGAAACTTAAAAAAGAGTAAAAAATTTGCTTCTAATGCTGCAGATAACAAAAGGATTTAAAGAGACCCTGCAGAGAAACCTTGCCAACCATATGAAATTTAACAAGGGAAAGTTCCAGATGCTGCACCTGGAATGGGGAAACCCTGGATGTTCATGCAAACTGGGGAATAAGATCCTGGAAAGCAGTGCTGCAGAAAGGGACCTGGAGGTCCTGGTCAATGGCAAGTTGCATGTGAGTCAGAAGTGCCCTGGCAGCCAGGAGGGCCAACTGTGTCCTGGGGGGCATCTGGCAAAGCATCGCCAGATTGTAGAGGGAGGGGATTGTACCCCTCTGCTCTGCACTGGGGCAGCCTCACCTCTAATATTATATGCAGTTTTGGGCACCACAACATAAGAAAGAGAGTAAGCTATTCAACAGCATCCAAAGGAGGTCAATGAAGGTGGTGAAGGGCCTTGAGTGGTAGTAGCTGTATGAGGAACAGCTGAGGTCACTTGGTCTGTTCAGGCTGGAGAAGAGGAGATTAAGGGGAGACCTCATTGCAGTTACAACTTCCTTGTGAGGGGAAGAGGAGGGACAGGCACTGATCTTTTCTCTGCAGTGATCAGTGATAGGACCCAAGGCAATGGCCTGAAGTTGTGCCAGGAGAGGTTTAGGTTGGATATTTGAATGAGGTTCTTCATCTACAGGGGGGCTGGGCACTGGAACAGGCTCCTCAGGAAAGTGATCACAGCACCAAGGCTGACAGAATTCCAGAAGCATTTGGACAATACTATTGGGCACATGGTGGGACTCTTGGGGGTGGCCCTGTGTGGGGCTAAGGGTTGGACTTGTGGGTCCCTTCCAACACAGCATGTTCTCTGATTCTGTGATTTGATCAAGATCTATTTCAGGCACCTTATCAAGGGATCTGTGTGAAATGCTGCGGAAGTGTGAAAACTTTTGTTAATTATGAACCAGGTGAAATAACATGCTATCTGAAGCAGTGTTTTGGCAGCTTGTTTTTATGGTGCAAAATAGGAAAAAGGGTTATATGGCAGAGTCAAGTAGAAGAGATAGAATTTTGTATTGCTGAGTTACACAGGAAAAACACAGTCCTCTGAGACGTTGGTCACCTCTTACAAAGGATTGCACATCTGCCTGATTTTAACTCCTGTTTAGCTCAAGGACTGCTTTCAATCAGCCAGCATATCACTGCAACAAATCATCAGTGCCTATGCTCTTGCTCTGCTTGGACTTGGCCAAATGGCAGCTCTCCCTGCAGCCCCCTGCAGTGCAGTCATTGCCAGGGGTTGTTTATCCCTCTGCTGCTGAAAGTCTCATCCAAACAATTTCACTGCCTATGTCCCCAAATCCTCAGAGATGAGGATATCTCCTATTTCTGGTATCACTACAAGAACAAGAAACATGAGCGTTTTTTCAATGAGTCATGAATATTCTCATTCTGTCTATCATTCTTCTGAAAAGCACATTTACACAGCCAGCTACAGAATTAAAAGTATGCATATACCTGCTTAGGGATAACTTACGTGTAACAAACAGGACATTTATGTAGCATTTAAACACTAACATAAATGCTGTAGTGATATATCAATAAGGACTCGACTTCGTAATCATTCTAGCTGCTGAAAACAGCTGATAACTTGGAGATGGGGGTCATAAGAAGTCAGGAACTGATAGTGCGTATTTGAATGCAGTGTCATGTAGGCAGGAGAAGAGTGAAAGAACATAAGTGTTTACAGAAGAGAAGATACTAACCTTCGTGTAGGACTCAAACTAGTGAGAATATGCAACACTATATCTAAACAAACAAAGAAATAAAATCTGTATTAAAAAAGGGTATCTGAAATCCAGAAGAAGATTTCATAATGAGTGAAGAGTGAAGGATGAAGATAAAGAATAAGGAAGAAACTGGTGGAACAAGTCGATGTGAAAATAGTAGGTCTATTCATACTAAAAAATATTGATGAAGTCCTTTTCTTCCATTAAGAGTAGTTTTATTTATAGATAGAGATTATTGTTTACAAGCTCTTAATAATATTTAATGCATTTCTCTCTGCTCATAGAACTCCTCCAGATTGTCTGTGCAAGACAGATTTGCGATCACTATGATATACAATACTTTTTAATCCTAGTGATGTGCTGTACAAATGTGTTTATTAGAGATTTATTCTGTGAAATGCTGCAACCTCAATATTGGTAGAATTGGCATTCATTCTTCCCAAGGGTCACACTGAAGGTAGTAGAACTCTGTGAATGACTTAGTACATCACACTTGAAAAATTATGATAAACTAAAAACATTGTCTACGGTTAATCCTGGATTTTTTCTTGGCTTTTACTTGATTTTCCAGTGCAAAAATGGATTACTTTGTTTTTGTTTAATCTTGTGATTCCTGATTGTATTTTGAACCTAAACTACTTTTTATACTGTCATAGAAAATTATAAGCACAAAAGACCTTGTTTGGGACTCATACCAATGTTTATACCATTTTCAATGGCAATGGAGCTTATGCTTGAACTTGGAAGTTCATATAAATAAAGTTGATACTAAATAATAATCTTAAATAACTACACTTTTTAAAAAATAATTAACAAGGTGTGTTGTTTTTCTATAAGACTCCATCTAAATGTATTCTTGGTCAGATGTGTAAGAAGACAGGCGCCATTCACTAGCTAGGAGATTGACTGATGGGAAATCTTTTTTTTTTTTTTTTTACACTGAGAATCAAGGAAATTTAATTCCTGATAATTGCTTATAACAGAAATGAGAAGCTGACCTGGCAAAATTAACCATTTGGATGTCACCAGTATCACGAAGCCAGGTAGCTCAGCTCTGCTCTTGCTCCGGTGAGGGAGCACACTTGGGCTGGATGGGGCTGCCTTGCTGCACACCTAGAGCATTCCTGATGCTTTATACACAATGGGCTACTTTTTCTTAGGTGATGCAGGATTAAGAGAAGCCCTGCAGCTCACACCACAGCCCAGGTGCGTGTGAGATGAGGTGATGAGAATGAGAAAGCCAAAATCAGCTACAGACGAAGAGAAAGAAAAAAAAATGGAACAATGTGGTGAAAGCACATGAGATCAGCAAGCCAATCATTTATATGTCACTTTCAGAATGTCACGGTCGATTTTCAGAAGGCTGAATAGTACATTAAAAAAAGTAAAGGTTATGAGCATTGCAGGATTGGGAAAAATATTTCTTGTGTTAACTATAACTACGTAACTGATACAAGGTTCAGTTCAGTCAAAGTTTATCAGCAGGTTGTGCTGAAAGCTGAGAGAGCAGAGGGATTATTTTGTCCTCAGCTTAAGCAGTGATTTATATTTTTGAAACTAGAGGAGATTTAGTAGAGCCATTAGATGTTACATCACTGAAATCGAAGTAAGTTTCTCATATAGACTTAATTTTTTAAAAACATATAAAAAATTTTCCAAGTTCTATCCCCCACAAAGAGTAAAAATATCTTGCTTCTATTAGAGTTCCATGACTCCAAACTGAGTTTCAGTACATTTGATAACCACTCTAGTGTTCTGCATTTTAATGCTAACATATATAATATATCCCTTGATTCCATGAAGATGTAAATGAAAGTTGAAGGTTATAGTTTTAAATTACAATAGAGTCTCTTTATTAAAAAGGTATTTTTCCAGTGATGACACATGCACATCATTTGGGAGTTCTTTCTTTGCTGCCCACCTTCCATTAAGGATCCTAAATTAAGTATATCTGTTTTACCAGTGATAGATCATTCTCCAAGAAAGGGGAAAAATAGCAGTAGGTAAGGAGTCTTAAATTTTTCTTACAGCAACCAATGCATAGACCAGTATGTTCCAGTATCAGTATTCACAGAGAAGGACAGTGCCAGCCAAAACGGATAATCAACTGATTTCCTTAGTGTGTTTGAAAGGAATTAGGCAATGCATCTGATGCATCACTTTTTTAAAAGGTTTCTTGAAAGAAAAATGTTTACATGTTAAATATTTTGTCTTGCGGTTAAGTAACATCTGACAGACTAGCTTTATCATTGGTGAGGTCTTTTTCATATCAGAAAAATGGTAGGTGTTTCGCCTGTTCAGTAATAACAGAACTTATCACAGACTGTTAATATGCAGAGTTAAATGTTGTTATATGAAACACACTGATCTAAAGGAGCTATAGTCATAATATGCCAGACAGGAAGCTGTCTATTCCAAAATTGCATTGCTCTGTTGTTTTGATTTTGGTTTTATTTGTTTGCTTGTTTGTCAGGTTAAATATCATTTCTAGTCAGATTTTAAGAATATATGCCATTTTCAGGTAGGATGTGTATTATGGGAAGTACAGATTGATCTCTGCAAGACTGAAGGCAATTGGGCAACAGGGACTTGTCGGGATGAGGACAATTAGCAAATGGGAAGCAGCTAATGAAACGGGCCCATATAGCTCCATACATGGTAAAACCTGTAGGCTGGGACAGAAGAAATTTGAGGCCCTACAGAAAACCTGCCTCCATACAGGAATATCAAATGTTCCTTGCTGCATGGCAGACTGAGCCAAAGCCCACACAGCCACGGAAAATTAGTCCCACGTTTTCTTGTTTCCCACACTGTTTCTCAGAATGTGATGAGCATGAGCAGACCTGGCTGCCTGAGAACCAGTCCAGGACTACAACACTGCAGCATTATGACCACCTAAAGATTTTTCACTAACAGTACAATAAACAAACTTCTGAGTTTATACACATTCTGATCATTATTTTGTCTTATTATTTTTCTGTAACGTCCAAAACTGCTTCAGCAGATCAAACCCCATCATTTGCTAGACTAATTGTTGGTTGTTAAAATAAGAACTGCAATTTACTACTTACTATTGAATACCTAATTTGGCAGTTTATGAAATTTAAGAACACATGAAAGCACATCACAGATGAAAGGATGGGTGTTTAATTGCTTAATAGAATTGCTGCTGTCCAAAAGCTGCAGCACTGCTGTACAACAGTGAACCCTTGAGCCTCTTCCCTCTCACTTTCAGAAGTGATAGCTATCGTTATAACAGATCTCCCTCCAAGAGTATTCCAGACTGGTTTTGGTAAGTGTGGAAATTCATACTTATTGGGCAGATTTAAGTGCAAATCAAAGTGTGCTCTGAGAGTCAGCTTCTGGCTGTGAAATGAATGGCTAATCTTCCACTGACTTTAAAGTCAGCAGGAGCAACTTCAAAAACAACACAAAAATGCAAGACTTTAATTCTTCAGGAGTGAGATTTGTCATTACTGGTAGCACCTATGCATCACATGAGCCCTTCAGCTGCTGCTAAACCTGACCTCAGAGATGCACAAAATGTGAGCTGGCAGTACAAGAAAATATCACATATTCAGCCGCACTGAAGACTGAAGGCTAA